AGTAATTATAGTAATACCTAAAGTAAGTAATAGTAATACATGAAAAGCGGATTGGTAATATGAACAGAAAGCTACCTTGAAGGAGTATGTGGTATTCAGTATCCAATCTTTTGCTTTTATAACAAAAATTAACCTTCTGACATCTACTACTGAACAACAAATGACAACCTTTTGGCAATCATAAGCTTCATTTGATAATAACATTATATTTATTACATTTATGGTCAAAATTTATAACATTTATTACATTTATGATCAAAATTTATTACATTTATGGTTAAAATTTTATTACTTTTATGGTTAGTAATTTGTGTAATTTATTACATTTATGGTTAAAATTTTATTACATTTATGGTTAGTAATTTATTACATTTATGGTTGATATTTATTGCATTTATGATTAGTGTTACATTTATGGCTGATTCTTACATTTATGGGTGATACAGCTGAAGGCAAACCAGTCGGATATTTGACAGGTGAGATCGAGATCTGAACTCGGGACAACGGGAAAAAAATCCAGCTAGAGGCAATTAAGGGTGGTACTATAACTCAGGGCTGCCACACTGCTTAATTGCTCTTTCACAGCAATCATAATCCTAATGTCTCTCCATTTTCTGGTCGGCACGTGCAATGAGCGAGAGTTCTGAGGATAAAAGGGGCTTAAAATTCTGAAGTCGTTCACGTCTCGGTCTCGCGCTTGTGGTCAAATCGTATTCGCATCCTTCGCGTGTTCAGCATTGCGTGTAAGTGCTGATTATGTAATAATTAATTTGACAACTGTCGAGTTTTATCGCCTCTACATTAACTTGTACTTATATTTAACGCTTCTAAGCCAAACCGTTGAAATGAAAACAAAGCAGTTTTAACCCTTATGTTGTACAAGAGTATGTTTACAAATCCCTTAATTAGAGCTCGACACCTTTGGTCCTTTCGTTTATCGTCATCAGTGTCAATTTTTTGTAACAAATATAGACAGTTTTGAAGCAATTTACCCTTCGATCTTCTTGTCAACGGTGGGGGCTTTATCTATAGCCGGTACCTTTTCGAACATTTCTTAGAACAAAAATGTGCTTATTTGAATTCGGCTGACCCATTTACATTTTGCGCGCCTTAGCACATGAGCGGTCTTGAGTTATTTATTTGTTTATTTTATCATTGCAAGGCCAGTGATTGTCACAACAACTTTAGCTTATATTGATGTATCTCTTTAACCTCTTTATTGTCCTCATAATTATACTTTCGCGCTTCAACGCAGCTCCCGCCAAAAGCTAAGCACTATGTAACACATTTTGTATTTATTGTATTCCAAAAGCTTTTAAAATAAGGTTGACTAGTACAGCTGCGAGAGTTTTTTCTTTTTTTTTCAGTTCAAATTTTTTTTCCATATGCTAAAGCCTCTGACATGAAAGGGTGAACTACCATTCATGCTCACATTTCCTTATTTATATGTACTCCACTTTAAGTGCTTATTGCCTTAGGAAACAATTCATCAATTAGACTTGGAAGCAAAGACGAAAACTATTGTGGTCTTTAAAAATCGTGGTGGTCTTAAGTCACGTTTAAGTCCTATTCACCTTCACCGCCCCTAAAGAGGTCACTGATCCTTGTCGATCAGATTTTAAACTGAGGGGAGGAAGGGATGGTTAAAATAGCAGGATAAGGCTTAGAAAGTTTTATGAAGAAAAAATAAGGGAGGTTGCAGAATTTTGTGTCTCCTTCATGCAAAGATGGTCTTTTTAGAAGTCACACACTCATAATACGTATACGCCATGAAATGAAGATCCTATTGTCAAAAGTAAGAAAGTTAAAAGTTATGGTCAGCAGACATTTGGGAGAGTGAATTAATAATAGAGTAAGTCAGGAGGTTGGGGGGTGGGGGGTCAGGAGTTCTAGCTTGAACGTGATATATCTTGTTTTGCAACCCCTCCTCCTTCTTCTTTCGGATGGCCGGCCTCCAACCAAGATTATTTTTTTCTGACGTGACAACATTCTTTTTAATCCTTTAATTGTTCTTAAAATAAATAGATCATGACGCAAATGACTTGTATAACATTTATAAGCGATCATCCAAGTTCCGTTTGATTCATATCAATACAGTCTTCAGAGTGAGCAATACTGTGCCTTTCCGAGCAAACTCTTCTCAACCGAAGTTTTGAAGAATCGTCTAGGGTGAGTGGAATGAACCGTATTTTTCTTTTTCCAACCACTTTTGTCAAGGAAAAAATTTTTCGTTGAACCTTCTTTTCTTCCCTTGTGTCTTTTTCTTCTTATAGAGTAGGAGCATTAAGGTGGATTTCCACCATCGCGAAATTTTTACTTGAGTACGCATGTAAATTTTACGCGCGTAAATAAAATAGAGACAATGTATGGAAGGTCACGCTAAACGTAAGGGTTGAACCTCGCTCAATTTTCACGTTTACGCGTGGCCTTACATACTAATTGCCTCTTTTTCATTTACGCGCGTAAATTTTACGTGCGTTCGCATGGAAAAACTACGCGACAGTGGAAATCCAGTCCTTATAGACCTACCTCAATTATTGGTAGTGCCCGCCAAATTTAATAAAGAGAAGATGTTTAGAAACCTTCCTCTCAAAATGACTAAAAATCGAACTAAATTAAGTGTGTGCTATAACCTTCGTTCAAAAATGTTCTAACAGTGATTTCATGTGTGATTTTTTTTATCTTTCACCAAAATGTTTAGCTTTTAGCTTTATTTAGTTAATCTACGGACTGTGCGCGCAAAGTAGGTTCCGCCAAAATTAACAGGAACAAATCTGTAGCTAGTTAACGGTTGTAAATCACACCCCGTGATTTTTTTATCAGCTAAGGTATACTTAAATCCTATATTAAAATAACGACGCCTTTCATTTAGTTACTATAATTATGTTAAACAAATTTTTCGTTTAGTCGGCGTGCAGACTCTGGATTTCCGCCTAAACACGAGGAAAAATGAAAAGCGAAGTATGAAGAATCAAAGCTGATAGACAACCATAACAATCCTTGTCAGCGTTTTGTTCTAAATCTAACGCTTTTCATTTCTTTTTTTTTTTTGAATGTCTTTTTTTTCATACATTTGCTAAACCATTGTAGCTTTAAACCTGATGCGCTTCATTGAAACTTCATCATGATGATGATGAAATACGGGTCACTTTGTACTGACCTCTAAATTATTTTTGGGGTTAATTTTTTTAATCGAAAGACGGGCTAATTGCTTTGAGGGAAAAAAGAACTTATGAATCACCTCAGTGTAATAAACATAACAAGCGGTTATTAAAAGACAGGGTTTTTTTATCCTAATCGTTTTGCCCGCGCAAAATTATTTTGCATAAATTATGCCTAAAACTGAATGCGTTGCTGGGGGAACAAAAACTGGGTCCCTACCCCATATCTAAACCCTCTTCCCAACCCCACCCCCGCCGCCGAAGCCAAAGTTGGCATGTTTGTTGTTCAGGAAACTTCAGAAGTGTTTATGGGGAGATGGGAGGGGAAAGCTTGGTTCTTTTTCCTTTTTCAAGTCGATGTTATTGGACAAACGTTGGAGCTGTCGTAGGGGACAAAGTGACTCGACCAATTATGACGCCGATTTTTGTAAGGGAAACGGGATGTTTCAAAAATCGCTTAATACCATTGCGTGCGGTACAGCAAGGGAAATTAAATTCTAATTTATGTGCATTCTTTTATCCAACATACTATTAGTGGCTTTACATTTTTGCGTTGTTGTTTGATAACTATTATTACTTGTTTTAATTAGTAGTTGCCGACACTTGACAAAAAAATTTATTGAATAATTATTTGTTCTCTTTGGTCAAGCGAAGCAGGTCTCCTTCGTTGCCATTACACAATCCAAGAATTCCACAGCTAATTAAACGGGGAAAATGTAAACTATTTATCAGAGGCTTAAATGCTTCTGTATTTGGAAGTATTAATTAAACTCGCCCTAAGCAATCTCGCCTGAGTGACTTTGTGGTTTGTTAATGCTAACGCAAGAGCCATAATGGCTCTTGGCTAACGATAGTGCTATTGGCAACAGGCACCTGTTGCAATTGTGATACCGCTTTGCAGTTGATAGATTTAGCGATCCCGATGAAAATAGACCCCTATGCGAGTGAATAATATTTTATGTTTGATTGTTGTTGTTGTAATTGCACAAATTACAGTCAAAATGAAAGACTCATATAAACCCCATTCACACCAACGAAACCTCTTTAATTAAGCCGCTTTTAGTAGATGAAATTCAGTACGTCTCCAGCGGCGAGGAGCGAGGTGAAACGGCTGTTTTCGCAGGCTAAATTCATTTTCTCTAACGACAAAACTCAAAACGTGTTTAGTTTGCTGTTAATAACGCATTGCCAAAAAAACACACACCGCAACGTTTGAGGAGAATAGCTTGGCTTGTTTCAAACCTTCGATTAATCAGAAGAAAAGAAAAGTGCCAAGCCGCACCCCAAACGCAGCCCAGTGGGGTACAACTACGTACCAAGAAAAAGGTGTGGTGCATTCGTCGAGCAGGCAGGATAAGTTCCTCTCTCCCTAGTCCCTTTTCTTATCCGCCGTGACTCTTTAAGAATTTAACATGACAATTTCTCTGCTTTCTCCCTCTCCTGCTTCAACGTCCCGAGATAACACCTACAGAAAGCAAGAGCAGAAAGCTAGGGGCATTTCGGTTGTACATTAGGCTTCATCTTTAGAATAGAGAATTTTAATTACTGAATAACAAAAACAAAAGCGGAAAAACGTTTGGTTAAATTATAGGTTAATTTATAGTTTCTCTTAATAGACAGCTACGTTGGCAGTGATTTTAGTGCAACGCTTCGATGTGGTTCTCTGTTGTCCATTGTTCATCGCTTGATGAAGACTAAATTGACTTCTTTTAGTCAACTGATAAACTAACCAGCCGTGGAGCAAACCACAAAGAATTAGTATGTTTCACTTCATTTTACAGTATTTTCCATTAAAATCATTTTTCTGTTTCAACGTCTCACAGGTGTTGAGAAAACACAATGCGAAGCCTTCCAGTTGGTTTGTTTCTTGTCGCCTTTTTGACCATCTGTTCCGGTGCCCCTTCTTTTAACCGTGTTGGACGTCCGCGCTTTTTCCTGAGAGACGAAAAAAGAAGTGAGTGTTCAATCATAGTTAATTAAAGCGAAATGGTTGGGAAACCCTTTGTTATAGGTTTTTGTTAACCTGACCGTGCACAACGTTCAATCGCATTCCTAACATTTTGAAGTTATTGACCAATAGAAACCTTGCATTAATTTATTCAGTCATAATTTGTGAACAAAAAACAAATTAAAGGATTGTGCACGATCAGGTAGCTTCCAACATAATGTACAAAACCATTGTTTTCAACTTTGATGTTTGCCGGTTTTCCTAACCAGTCTCCTCTATTGACTAACTATGGTTCAATCTATTCGTTAGTTCTTTCTTACTCGTTTGGTTGGTTCCACTGACTAACCTGATTTACGGTGATCGTAAAATATCTCAGCATATCTAACAAAGGTATGCAGCTCAAAGTTCGTACCACAGTTATCTAACAAAAGGTAACCCTCGGCCGTTTTCCCTATAATAAAAGGACTGTAATGAACACATACTACATCAACTACACCAACTACAGCAAACATCAACTTTATCATAGTACACTAAGTCATCACTAAACACGTCTCTATATTCATGACGGTTATCATGAATTCATTACCTGTAATGACACTTTGCTCATTTTCTGTGCATTTTGTCTACCCAACCTCGCCCCTAGGGCCCAGGGCTTTTCCCTCCCATTTTTTAACCAACATCAATTTTCTCCCAGCAATATCCACATGTTGCCAAGAAAAATGGTTATGAGAGTTAATAAAATGATCACTGAAGAGAAAATGCTTTGATCTATTATAAAATTCTCTCAACTAATTCTTTAAGGAAATGTCTGGAGATCGATTTGGAGAATTTGTAAGTGGATCTCGGGGGGTTACAGGGAAAAACCATAGGGCTGAGGCAGTTGTCTACCTTATTTATCACAAAGATAGAAATAACAGGAATGTGACAGTAGAAAGCCAGGTTCTTCCAAAAGGCTAATGTATTTTAAAATTTTCTGAACGTTTGATAATTTGACAATCTGTTTGAATCTTTACTTTAAGCCGCCGGCAACGTGGACATGGAAGCTTGTTTAAAAGCGCATAATCAGCTGCGAGCCAAACACAATGCCCTACCCTTATCTTGGGACACGAAACTCGCTAATGATGCGCAGAAATGGGCCAATGATCTCGTCAAACTAGGAAAAATGATGCACGCGACAGGTACTGGTGAAGGCGAAAATCTCTACTGGTCTGCGAGTACTTCGAAAGTCGCCACTTGCGTAGATGCAGTAGAAGCATGGTAAATGATAACTTATGCTTAAATCCAGATGTTTGAACAAACCTAGCTTGTCCGTGGATCACTGCTTACCGTTTCTCTTCTTAATTATAGGGCTTCAGAAGAGAAAGACTACCCAGTTGACCATCCACCGCAAACATTTGAAGAATTCGCAAATAATGGTAAAGCCATTGGTCACTATACACAGGTTAGACATGTCTTCCATATATTCCCTTGATAGCCTGCAGTGCATGCGTTTTCTTCGGGCGCTCATGTTTTTTCTCGCGAAAGCGCCATGTTGAAACTCCAAAAGAGCCGTGAGGAGAACTAAGGGTTACTATTTTTAGTCTCTCTAATCTTCCTCCGTCATAACATCCAAGATGGCGGTTACAATAGTACGAACATAAACAGCAGATTGCTCAAAATAATTCGTTTTAGTTTAGGGGGAGTTAGCTACATAATGCCGGAATTTGGGGGGAATTTTAGACATCAAAAAGAATTTTAGAAAGTCTCGGGAATTTTAGAAAAAAAATTGACAAATTTTAGAGCAAATTGAACATTCAACCGACATTTTGGCAACATTTCACAGGCAAAAACGTTGACAAAAGGTGTTTTTTTTGGTATTCCTACCAACCAAGAGAGGGCTCAGTACGCTCACATGCTTCAGCGGTGTCTAGAGCATTATCTACTGAGCACAACAAATCAGCGGTTTTGCGTCATAGTCAACTACACTATACAACTTATCAGCGGTTATTCACCAAAAAGGGCCCTCGCTATTAAAAAAAAAATTTTTTTTAGAATTTTTGGGAATTTTTAGGGGAGTTTTTGGAGAATTTTAGATCTTTTTTAGGGGAAATTCCGAAAGAATTTTAGGCCACATTTCGGGATCGGAATTATGTAGCCAAGCCTATTTTGGTTTCTTTTTTCTCTTTCCTTTGCCTGTCCACTGACTTACGCTCCGGGTTTACGCTCTCCCCCGAAAAGAAAAAGAACACCTTGCAGCTTAAATCATATCAAGCTTTGAGTAAAACGATTGCATTGAAGTTTCCCAAAGTGTTCACTGTCAGTGATGATAGGTTGAGCAGCGATAAACAGAAGAAATCAGAAGTATTATATCACGCCTAGCTTTTTCTCTTATTTTTCCTCCATCCGCAGGAAGTTTGGAAGGCAACTAAAAAAGTGGGTGTAGCCATTGCGACAAAGAAAGATGGCGTGTTCTTCAACACATACATCGTGGCACGATATTATCCGCCTGGAAACATGCTGGGGGATTTTGGAAGCAACGTTGAGTAGCCTGAAACTGATAATGTTTTCCTAGTGAGTATTAATAGTGCCATAGTCTAAACTACATAAATTGTGGGAGTGTTACTCGGTCTTGGAGAACAAGGGTATTGCAGTCGTGAGAGCGCTTGCCTCCCACCAATGTGGCCCGAGTTCAAATCCCAGCGTCGAAGGCATACGTGGGTCGAGTTTGTTATTGGTTCTCTCCTTTGCTCCGAGAGGTGTTTTCTCCGGGTACTCCGGTTTTCCCCTCTCCTCAAAAATCAACATTATCAAATTCCAACTCGACCAGGAATGGTAAACGAAGAACCTCTATGTGGATGTACTATAACTAAGTCTAAGTCTTTGTTTAGAGAAACTATAAGCGTTAAACTGCAAATCAAATAAGAGGAAGAAATGCCTTTTGTTGAAAAAAATCTTAGTTCCTCCTTCGTACATTATGAGATAAACTTGAAAAAAGCAGGCCGTATACGGTTTTTCAAGTTTATCCGAATGCGCGATTCGTTTTATTCCCCATCTACAGTCAGTTATAGTTTGGGAAGTGCTGATTTTGCCTAAATAGCTTGAACCTCTTTTAATGTCCTTTCTTAAATATGTCATCTTCAGATTGCTATTCGATTTGGTTCTCTTCGTAAATCAGATAATTTCGCTTCATGCTTTAAAACCAATGAACATAGAAGCAACTGATTTGAGGATTCATGTAGGTTATAAAGTTGGCGACTCTTTGAGTGATGCGTTACAACTAACGACGACAAAATAACTTTTTCCTTCCTTTTTTTTTTCCTTAGAACCTAGAGCAAGGAGCTTTCAAAGACGATTATTATCTTATTACTTTAGGAATTATATCAAGATCGTCCATTATAATTAGCATTCTAAGCCGTAAATGCAAAGAAGTTAAAATGCAGTTGCGAAACTAGAAAAGCTGAAAAAAAATCGGGGTGCCGGGATTCGAACCCTGACCTCCTCCTAATGCTGATGCAGCGATCTAACCAATTGAGCATTATTGGATTATTCAGGCTTTCTTGTTTCGCAGCTACATAAGATGCCTCTTAACTGCGATCATCGTCTTTACATTTACTTTTTCATTCCGCGGTTCCAATATATGCCATTCATATATATTCTTTATTTCATATGCAAAGTAATATTAGTAAGTCTTGTTATTTTAGCTGCTCAGCAAAAAGATGGTAAGCACCATTTATGCTGTAATCGTGACGGCAACTTACAAGTTTTTGCCATTAAAGTGGAGTCTGATTTTTCTTCATGTTTACGAGTTCTTATAATCACACGGGTAAAGGGATGATATACTGCCGACATTAAACTTCCCGCTTTGCAAGTAGTGTTTTATCAAATTTGAAATTCTGATCTGACCCATCGGCAACTGAACCCCGCGCAGGTTGCTCCCAAGCAATAAAATTTTAAGTTGACCGGGAACAATTGTACTGGTTTGCAACTTCAGTAGAAAAAACTGAACAATGACCGCTCTAAGATACAGACAATTTTATTCTGGTGTTTATAACTGAACAATTAAATACGCCTCTCTCTTTCGGGCTGAATTGAATCCTAGATAATTCTTTTGTGGACAGTTGATGTGAATTCTTGGAACATAAAATACTTTTTATTAAATATTTTTAAAGCTTTATGGATTGACTGCATGGAAGCACTGCTGACAGGCCCAAACGCCGTGGTTTCCACACCTCCAGACAGTAAAATCGCCCTGAAATAGAACAGTAGAGAAAATAGGCTGTAAAACCTGCAAGGATATGGGAATTGTCCACCCACCCCTACCCTGAGGCAACATTTTGCCCTCAAAGAACAGCTGGTGTCAACGTGGGGTAGCGTTGGGTTAGGGGAGGAGCTGGTGGGGAGTGCTCACTCACCGGTCACCCTCCCCCGCTTCACCCCCCACCCGCAACCCAACATTTTGCCCTTAGTGAGAAGCGAGTTTGACTTCTATTGTCTCTCTCCACAAATCACATTTGATTTTTGTATTATTTTAAAAATTGTAACCGTTTATTCTTTTCTCACTTAGCTTTTCTAGCCCCCGATGCAGGTTAGTTTTGCCTAACCTAAATATTGGACAAAAAATTACCCATCCATAGCTGTCCGATCAGCCTTGCCCTCAGGTTTAAGGGTTAGGGGAGGAATTGGTGGGGAGTTGCTTACCCACCCCTTCCTAACCCAACCTTTTGCCCTTAGTGAGAAGCTATCGTTCACGTTGGGTTAGGAGAGAAGTCGGTGGACGGTTTCCCTGGAATCTTCTAATGATTCGAAAGATTATTATTTGACGATCGAAAGAAGCTTTGACACCAAAACTTACATGTGATTGCCTGCGTCATTCTGGTGCGAGATGAGGATCACTATGATGTGACTCAACAACTAGCTAAACAGAGATGGAGTTCTCGAGATAAAAAATGAGCCATTTTTGAAAATTATCCATTGTCGTTCGTGTTATCACTGGGCTGTTTGTATTCTACATGAGTGCTTTATTTCTTGTTTTCATAAAAAAAGAAGCTATTTAAAGCCCTTCCTGATCAAAATATACGAAAACATATTTCTCAAGTTGTGCCTTTACGTTAAGGTTAGGAGTTAGAATATAAGAAAAACGGCTTGAAAGTCCGTATTTTTCCCTTTAGCTTTGAGACACTTCTTGAAGCTCTAAACACAGTATACGCTGGTTTTGTAAAGACGAAAAGCAAACTTACTGGCAGAGAAGTCGAGTGCATTTCATTTTTGAGAGGGCATTTTTCATCTTCATTTGGAAGAACCACAGCAACAAAGCTGTTCAGTTCAGCAAGCGGTGATACTTGACAAGAATGTATCTGCGGGGTGGACTGGTTAGGAGTCTGTGATGCACAAGGTAGCTGCTTATCATCCGTTGCAGTACTTGACGCATTTGTTCCAGGCTTAACAGGCTTAACTGTCTTATAACATGGTGGAGGCGCTGAGGTTGAACTGCTTAGCGCAAGAAGTGCATAGGCCGCACCGATTTCGTCTGGGGAATATTTCTGTTTGAAATGCGAAACAATCTTATATTGAATGATTACGGGTACAATAAAGCACCGCTGGCCCAAACGTAACATATCAGTTTGTATGGGAAATAAAACTTAGACAAAACAAATATGCAGAAAGGGATAAAAGTTATCAATTAAGTATAAATTAATATTGTTTCCAAATGACTGACAGACTGGTAACAATATCCTCTCACACCTGTATACAGGTTATCACCGAGAGTAACTCGGTTAGGTCTGCCTCGTACCCAGACGTCTCTCTTTAAAACGTGCGCCCAAAGGAAGGTGGTCCCTTGCGGTTCATCACCAGTCACTCGTTACGCGCTCGCCTCTGCTATGCGAAAAACGAAGCGCCTGAGGAGGAGGCTGCGGTCAGGTCATATCCTACACTACTTTTGTGTAAACACCGGAGTATACTCCCCATGGCCAACACAGGGGAGGCTCCACCCAAAAGGGGTACCTTTTCCAGGCTTCAGGTTTTTAAAGAGTAGGGATTTCACTGGTTGAAGTATATCAAAGGGCTGGGAAATCTGTCATTTCGATCTGTCAAAGGACCTAAAGGGGCTAACAAGAGCATAATGACTGATTGGCTGAGAAAAAGAAAAGAAAACTTTCTGGATGAGTGATTTAATCATTTTTTTAAAAAAGACGGGGCGTAGTGAGTGGGCAGAGCAGTTAAAAGGGATGCATTGTTCTAAACTGGGTATGTGAAAGGGGTACCATTTGTGAATAAAAGGTGCAAGAAAGGGGTATCTTTTCTATTACAAATGGTATACGGAATTATAGGATAAGAGGCGTAGCCTCCCGTATGAAATTTTGTTGAGTAACCCCCACCCACCTTCCCGGGAAAGTATTCTATCAAAGTACACCGGGAAGTACAGTACTCCTCACCTCTTCAATAGCAGGCCTATTATCCTGTTTGAACTGCAGATTACTGGGCCCTTTACTTCTTGAACTATTAACACTTGTAGGTGCCATCTCCATTATCTTGCAAAAACGAAATTTTTTGTTGATAATTATGAATTTCTTAAGATAATTTAGAAATAATTTTAGTTCCTTGTGTTTGATGAACTATTTTTATTTTTTAATGGCTTTTATACTCTTCTCTTTTCCTATTTACAGCTTTAATAGCAATTGTACCAATTTGTAATTAGAATCGATTTCGATAAACATTAACGATAAGAGGGTTTCCTTTAGTTTATCATAAGAGTCATGCATACACCTCAGTAACATGGATAAACTTTTGTCATGTAAAAATGAAAAATGGAAACAAAAAAACAAATAGATAATTATATATTTACTTGGCTAATAAGAGAGATTAATGGCTTTCAGCACTGCATCAGAAACCAAACCGCAATACTGGGTGTCTCCGGTTTCATCTATCAACGATGACGAGTTGAAACTGAAAGAAAGTTAATTGTCAGACGCACTTACCTTAAAATAGTTATCTTCGAAAGAAAAATAATGGGTATTTCTCGCAATTATGACGTCAACAATGGCCCAACTTCCATTTAAAGCGTAGCTCGCGCGCACTTTAGAGAGAACGAGTTCTGCGAAACATACAGTGGACGAATGGCACTTTTGCTAGCGCTGCGTTTCTTCTCCTAGTTAATGTTTATTTTTCAATTACAAGTTTTTAGCTATCTGTCACCTTTGCTGCATCGGAAAGAATGTAATAAAGGTCGCTTTTATATTTTAAAGTTTTCAAGAGCAGCGCGATAATGTTACACACTGTTGATCTTGAAATTCGCCCCAGTCCAATCAAGCACGTCTAAACATGCGTGATCATTTTAAAAAGCCTAAATTGTCCCTTCGTCATGTTGCTGCAAAGAAAGGGACATGAAGATCCCACATCCCATATAGTTTGATATCTTATTTGTTCTTAATGTATACATGAGAAATATAGTTTAACATGAAACTGAACTGGGGTGGTAGGAGTTTTATTATTTATTTACAAATGTCGTGGAGAGCCACGGAGGCCAGTATAAAATGATGACGTGGCGGTTCTATTTTCTTAGAGTTTTTACAAGATTATCAGGGTAATTGAAATCGTCCTACCAAATTCAAACGGGTTCTAGGTTTCATAGACTCACTCATCAGTCTCCATCGAGTCACCCATGGCCGTACCCTGGGTGCCAGAGGCTTTTCATGCCCGGTTTCCGAAAGTTTTTCTCGCGGCTTCGCCGCTCGTGTCTTCGGCTTGTTGGCCGCTGCGGCCGACCAAGCTCCTCGTCGGACTCGAGAAAAAACCTCTAGTACCCAGGGTACCACGGTCGGAAACTGAGCCCATAGGTTTCAGTAATGTTCATAGTTTTTGCTTTATAATAACAATGTTTGACGGTTCAATTCTCAAAGATTTCACGCACAAATCAACAAAAAACTTTTTAGAACAACGGGTATGGCGGGCGTAAACAAGCACTCTGGGACCTATTTTCTTCCTGCATTCGGTTTCAACAGAACCCATGAGTTTCTGATCATGCTGACCTCTTTCATAGCGCTTAATTCACTGGACAAATGTATTAATTGTTGTCTAGGGCTAAAAGTCATGCTTTTTAAGCATTTAACAACTGAATTGCTGCAAAATAAAGAGCGTACAGAAGCAGCTGAGGTGATAGACAGTTAAAGAAGGAACTCCCAGCGGCGATGATCTTCCCGGCAACACTCTGGTACTTTTACTCCGTCGGAAATAACAATTAAAGGCACAATTTCCACAATATCCTTTTATTTGAATTTCATTTTCCATACGTTTATAGAGTCACTTTCACACAGTACACGTTTTACACTCTCTGGGCTTCGGTAGTTCTAGGAATGAACCCGCGGCAAGTTTCCATGTGTGTAGGCCAGTGATTTCTCTGGCATTCTTCTCCACAGTAGCAGGCTGACCAACATCCACTGCACATAAACAGACGTGACGTATTCACGTTACAACTGGTGCACACCTATAAGAGAAAGAAACAAGTCCTAGTTTCAGCTTGATAGATACGAGACCCAGATCAAAGGAATGACGTTACATTACACGCAAAATTGCGCGAGGTTACACGCAACACCAAACTAGTCCCCAGTTCATCGTTCATCTCATCATCTCTTGATTCACTCGAGGTATTAAACTTTGGAACGCATAATTAAACGCACAGATTTTAAATTTCAGATCTTAAAGACTTATCTTGTAAACAGAGGTTTCTTTTCATCGTGGTTTTTAGGAAGTATGAAGTCATTCGCGTCGCTGACATTCGTGTAGTATTTTATTACAAATAGTTTGTTTACAAAACCGTGTTGGAAAGAAACCTCTGCTACCTGGTATGTAAGCCTCGAGGGGAGTGGATTATAATTCGAAGAGGACAGACGGCAAATTGTTGTTACGGGAAATATCTGCTTGTCGTAACTGTTCATCGGCAGGATGCCTGGGATATATGCAATTCCACAATTGGTTTCGGCTCCATAAACTGTACCCAAATGCAGAAAATTTTAGCGGGAGCCATCCTTAATCTGAACACAGTTACTGACTTAAGGCATATTAGTTTGGAAAACAACACAAAGTAAAAGTAATACATTACATAACGAGCTAACACACACGTCAGTTACACGTCTATTAAATAAGTAAATAAAGCAAGCGTGCATATTGAAATTGCGCGCGCGCACACAACCTAAATCAGTTGAAAGGATGAAGGATACTGCAATGCTATTCAACCATTGACTTCTGGTCTCATCCCTCTTCTCTGAGATATTTACAATGTTCAGTTTTCGAGTAACAAGATTATTTTACCATATTCCTTTGTAAAAGATGTCTTTGGCGTCGCATTCCTTCCTGGATTCCCTCTCTACGCGCTAGCTCCAATTCCTTTTTATACTCCCGACGCGTGTCCTCCATTGTTTTTTTGAAGTATTCCTTCACCGTTTTCGCCATGTGAAGTACAAGATTCTGGCAAGTCAAGCGCACAGCCTGTATTTTCCTTGCTCCTCTTTCCTTCTCCTGTTTCAACTGAGTCTCTACAAATTAATATAAATCCCGTTTAACAAAACGAAACTCACAAACTGCAAGAATAGAGTTGATTTTTTGGCAATATGTATTCCCTGGAATATTCATAGTTCATATTCAAAGAATATACATTTAAATCAGTATCACGTTGTTTGTATATCAAGGCTGGAATGTATTTGTTCGATTCAGCAGATTATTAAATTTTTTGTCGTTTTCAAAGTGTTATTATAATTATCATTACTACTATCTGAATAATCTTGTAATCAAGTAAAGTCAGGATCACTCCTGGTGAAGTAAACTCACCCAGTGATTCCAGTTGTTGCTCTAATTGCTGCTTAGGTTCAGCAGCTTTTGCCACTGCTGCTGCCTCAGCGCCTAAATTACCAGCCACTTGAACGGTCACGTCCCTCATCTCACTTAAAAGGCTTTGACAATTTTCAAATAAGAGTTCAAGCTGGAGATATTAAAATAAAGCTAAGGTAACGTCTTTCAAGGGCGTAAGTAAGATTTTTCAATGGGGTAAATAGGGGGCGGGGGTTTCTAGGCCAGTGTCGCTACTGTCATTTTCCCAGGGCATGAAATTTTTATCACAGAATATCCAAGCTGATTTTTTGGAACGCTGGCAAAAATTCGCAACTCCGCGAGGTAATCGAAAGCTTGTGTGTAAAAAGTTTTCTCCTATCCTGTAAATTGAATCGTCTTTTGTTAAAATTAGCGGTAATTACCGTTACAAAGATTGACTAGACCATTTAAGTCCAATTTTCACATGTAATTTTTACTAACTTGTTTAAACTGTGTTAAGCTCTCCTTAGTCATCGTCCTTGGGTCTAACTCAATTTGATTCATGTCCTCTATGGCACAAAAAAGAAAAAAACTTAAGTGAGAAAACAATTCAACAGAAGAAGAAGCCAATACATAGGCAAATAAAAATAAATGAAACATATATCTGTAGCAGCAAACTCTCTTAAGTGAAACATCAGGAAACATATCTTGCTTTTTAATAGTTTACAGGAATTGAAAAGGAATGCACCATGAGATAGCTCATTCTCTCTTGAATGCACTAAGGTTTTGTTACATCGGCCGGATTTAATAGCCGAAGACTCTGGCACCAACAAGAAATAAAATGAAATAAATGAATGAAATGAAAAACTTTATTCATGTGTCCAAAGATCTAGCGTACGGAAATCCATACCTAACTGGGGACACCTAATTATAAAGAGAGGATACCAATCATTAGAAGCTTTAGTCGCGTTCCTTTTCAGGACCGCTGATTTTTTCTTAACATTTTTGATATTCCAGTGGTTTATTTTTGGATTTACAGGCTTGTTTGCTTTTCTAAGGCTGCACTTTCAAAGCGTATTGTTGTTGTTACTTTGTTAGTTTACTGTATATTCACTTCTTGATCTTTTAAATATATCGAGTACTTGTATGTTTTGACTGAAAGAAGGTGCGGTTTGTGTTAATACAGTAAGTTAAATTATTGATACCTGTTTCCGTCGAATTATTATCAGGGAATCGAGGGGCTCTTTCCTCTGGGGAAGCCATGGATGTGAGCAGAAATTACTCCTTTACCATTTTGCTATAAAAAATCGTTAAGATTCCGTTACACTCGCTCACGCGACGACACGCGTCCCGCGCGTGCTGTTGACCAGCACACCAGGGCGGAGCACACCAAGCAGTCAGCAGTCAGCGGTTAACTATAGGAGTTTGGTAGGTACTTCATGTATGGAGACATACCAGGAGTTTTCAAGATGGCGGTTTTAGGAGTGAAACGGAAAAAAAGTTTAAAGAGTTTTATTTGTTTTGCCTTGTGAAAAGAAAGGTTCTTTCTTTAATAGTGATAACAATGAAAAAAAGTGGGTTTATACTTGCATTTGTTTTGATGTGGAGGTATTTGGTTTGCAGAACCAATGGAGGTAAGAGTAGCTAATGGTACTACTTGTAGCTTTTTACACTAAAGTTTATTTCACGTAGTTTTTCATTCTTCATCCCTATGATCAATTACAATAGTAGTAAGAAAACGATAAACGTGTACTGGCTACTTTTTTTTCACTTCCTCTCTTTGCTTGATACCACTGGAGTGAAGCTTTACTAAAGGTACATTGTACGTAGGACCTTGTGAGATGTTGTTGTCAAGGGCGGTCTACAATGTAGCTGAAAGCTAAGCCGACAACTTGGTTATCTTGTACACTTTAACTTGTCTTGCGACGATGGAAAAACATTATCGCGAGAAAATTACATAAATTAGTGCAACTTGACTGTAACTTTGAAATGATGTTTTTATTGTAGTTGTTTCTACCTATTTTTTAATTGATTATACTGACCAGGGATGTTACTAAGATTTCAAGTTGCTAGGTAACTACAACAAATAGGCAGGGGATAAAACAGCTAGGGATTTCTTTTGGTTCTATTTTTCTTCTATTTTCCGATGAAAGTAGCCAAGGAGCATAGTAGCCAGTGGAAATCCTCTGCCCCCACCTCTTAATGCATATACGCCAACTCTCCCAGGTTATCCTGGAGTCTCCCGGATACAGCACTGATCTCCTGCTCTCCCATATGGGTCCCCAAATCTCCTGCATAAAATGGTCTTTCGAGCTTTTCTGTGCTTTAATTTGAAATTTAGCCTATTTTTTTCTCAAAATTCCAATTTTTTTTAATTCTTTGTACGGTTTCTGGGACATTTGCACATATTAAGACACTGACAAAGATTATTTCATCATTATAATTATGAAAGCAAATTTTGAGAGCACCTACTTCATGTAAGACTTCATATTATAATGTCCTAAGCCATGGTGGCTGGGTCAATTTGTGGGCAGGTTGTGTGGTGGGGGGTGGTGAAGCTGTTGACATTTGGGTGGGAGAGGGGAGGGGGGTGTTAGTGCAAAATAAAGAGTCTACAGATTTTAGATCTCCACAGGTTGGTATCTCTGTTAATAATAGTCCTGACGTGACTACCTTGATTCTTGATAAAATTTTGTTTTAATTCAGCGGTGGTGAATATCAACTTAGCTGGATTCCAGGATGGTGTACTTAATGTGCCCCAAAACAATGAGTTTGGAGAAATACAAGTAGACTTAACAGAGGCAGTGACATCAGTACAGGTTAGCTTATAATGTTGAGTAAAATTCTTTCACTCGTTGGGGAAGAGGAAGGTACCTTTTTGCCTGGATACTTAACAATGTTATTATTGGATGAGGCTGAGTATGAAACCAAGAATTTAGTAGATTGAGGAGAGTGTTATCCGCCTAGGCCAAAGGCAGATAGCACCCTCCAGGACTTTGCCTATGTAGTGATAAAAATTTATCAAGTGTAAACAAGGTTAATTCATTGCCCCATGTATTTCCTACTTAACAACCAGGCCACAGTTGTTTGCAGCTCTTTGGAAACAGGTCCTGGCATAACAGCTGTAGAGTTTACGAATGTCTCAGCTCCAGTTGGTACAACACAAGTGGATGTTTCATTTAGGTATGAAATTTTTGTCCACTCCTTAATGTGGACAGAAAACCATATACATATATGATTTTATTTCAACAATACTGGTATATTGGGAAGTTTGTGCTAAATACAGTGACATGGACACATACACTCATACCTTGTATGAGACAGATGCTCTTACATGTACGAGCTGTTTTTTAAAAGTTTGGTTCTTGCCACCATGATGTGGTAATATTGATATAAAAAAGTAGTTTTCCCTGTGTAATTTGTAAGTTCATTAGTCTTACTTGCCAAGCTTTGGTTGACAGTTGGCCATAAATAATTTTGTTTGAAATAAAATGTAATTCAGGATTGTACCATTTATCTTCCAATGTCAAAAAACTGATTTAAAAATACCGCACACTATCTAAGACAGACACCTATGAAACTGGCAATTTGTGTCCATCTGAGCGAGATGTCCTTCTCACAAATTGTCAATAAAAAGAGTATAGAAAGACATGGACCAACTCTAGATGTCCATTTTAGCAAGGTGTCTACCTTATAAAGATTCAACTAAAAGGTCTAAACAAAGTAAAGATTTAGGCTGGGACCATCTCCAGGTGTCTGTTTTAGGAAGGGGTGTATTTAAAAAGTGTCAACGAAAAGGAGTAAAAAGAGGTAGGGACCCACTCTAGGTGTTTGGTTAAGCAATTTGTCCATCTTACAGAGGTGTGCCTTTAGAAAGAGTTGGCTGTAATAGCTACTAATCATGTTCAGGACAAATTTCTAAAGTTAAGATGGTAGCTCACTTATTGCTTGGTACATTACTGTATGTACAGGCTGCTTTGCATTAATTAACCCCCTTCATCCTCCTCTTCTTTATTTTTTTATTTTATTTATTTATTTATAGTCACTCACAAAACCTTACACAACATGAACAAAAGGTGTTAATTAAATTATAAAACTAATGTGACAAGGAAGCCTAACGAAGCTTGAAGCTTATATTAATAGGTTTCCTTCAACTACCTAGTGAACTAAGTTCATGGCTGAGTGCAGAGTGAGCAAGATCAGAAAATTAAACGACAGATCGGCTATCAGTGAGATAATTCTTTAAATTTCTTTTAAAAACAGATATAGAAGGAGAGCTAATTAGTGAAACAGGCAACGAATTCCAGATTTTAGGTCCTCGGTAAAGGATACTGAATTGCTTTATATTTGTTCTACAAAAATGAGGTCTATATTGAGAGGCTAGTCGAGTTTCGTATTGATGGACTTGATTACTACTTAAGAACAAGTCATGAAAGCTATTAGGCAAAAGATTATGGTGATAAGAATACATAAAGGTAGCGACAGAAAATGAATTAATACTAAATATGTCAAGGACTTTAAGCTGGCTAAATAAAGGGGCGGTATTTGCTAGATAGTGAGCTTTTGTTATGAGTCGCACTAGACGCTTTTGCAAAAGGTAAATACAGTTTAGGTTGGAACAGTAGGTGGAGGACCAGGCGACATTACAGTATGTTAAGAAGGGATATACAAGGGAGTAATACAAGGTCATCAAAGTTTGGGATGATAGGTAAAAGCGGGCTTTCGCAATAATTCCCACACTTTTCGAAATTTTTTTTGAGACGAAATCAATATGTGGTTTCCAAGAGAGATGCTGATCAATGAGAACACCTAAAAATTTTGTCTCCGTGACTTGCTTGATCACGGTATTTTCCAGAGTAAGAGGGACATTAACATTGACTTTCTTTTGCCTTGGATGAAAAATCATAAAATTTGTTTTAGTCAGATTTAGAGATAACTTATTCACTTTAAGCCAAATAATTATTTTTGCAAGTTCATTGTTAACAATAGAAACGAGGTGATTGGCATCTTTATGGGAACAAAAGATACTTGTGTCATCAGCAAACAGTAAAGATTGAGTGAGACTAGAGACATTAGGAAGATCATTAATGTAAATAATAAACAAAAGAGGTCCAAGAATTGAGCCCTGCGGGACGCCACATAAAATTTTCCGCGGAGAAGATCGATGGGACCCAAACTGGACAAATTGAGTCCGATCGTCAAGATAGCTTTTGATCCACGCCAAAGCAGTATCCCGAATACCATAGTGTTGCAGTTTATGACACAATATTTCATGATTAATTGTATCAAACGCCTTAGAAAGATCTAAGAAGATGCCTAAAGTTGTTTCATTTCTGTCGATAGCTGAAGATATGTTGTTGATCAAGTCAATTAACGCTAATGCAGTCGAATGATTATTACGGAATCCAAATTGTTTCGAGTATAAAATATTATGCAAATTTAAGAAATTAATCAGTCGGTTGTACATGACTTTTTCAAAGAGTTTAGAAAAGGCTGGAAGAATTGATATTGGCCTGTAATTACTAAAAAGTGTTGGGTCATCTGCCTTAAAAACTGGAATCACTTTGGCTATTTTGAGAGATTCAGGAAACACACCAGTAGACAACGAAGTGTTTATAATGGTTACAAGAGGCTGCGCAATATTTTGGAAAGACTGATGAACTATCTTCATGGATATATTATCATGTCCAGGAGCTTTGTTGGCGTTGAACGATTTAACAATGTTGTTTAATTCACCGACTGTTAGTGGTTGCAATGAAATGGATTCGGAAAGAGCGCTGCTTAAGAAATTCTTGGGTGACGAATTTGTGGAAGGAATTTTGCTCGCCAAATTTGGCCCTATATTGGTGAAGTAATCACAGAATTTATTGGCAATGTCAGTAGGATTGCTAATTTCCATTTCATTTTTGGTGAAGCTTGCAGGATACGGCGATTTAGCGACACGCCTGTTGATCACTTCATTAAGAATTTTCCATGTTTGCTTTAAGTTTGATCTAGCCTTATCCAATTTGTTGTCATAATAATTTTTCCTGGCGATACGAACAAGACAAGTTAGCTTATTTCTAAATGACTTATAGCTGGATTCACGCTCATGACTTGGTTTCCTTAACAACAATTTATACAGCCTAGACTTTGTTTTAATTGATTTCAAGATTCCAGTTGTAAGCCACGGATTATGCAGAGTTTTTAGGTTTTTCCCTTGACAAAACTTTATCGGAAAACTCTTGTTATAAAATTCAGTATATTTTTGTAGGAACCCATTGTAAGCGGCGTTAGCATCAGCATAAATTAGAGAATTCCAATCGAATTCACACAAAAGGTTGTTAAATGCATTAATATTCTGACTAGAGAAGTTGCGAATGGCAACACTTTCCTTAGGCTTAATTGTTGAAGAATGAGCATCAGTGTAACAGAGTGTGAAGATTGGTAAATGGTCGGACAGATCATTAATAATGAGTCCATTGTCACACAAGGCAGAAATATTGTTAGTAAAAATATTATCAATCAGGGTGGCGCTGTACGAAGTAAGTCGAGTTGGTCTCGAAATTAGCGGGTAAAGAAAATGAGAAAATAACGCATTAATAAACTCATTCGTAGCTGAATGCAAATCAGTGTTAAGAAGGTCTAAATTGAAATCACCCATTATGTAACACATTTTATTGTCCCTGGTTACCCGATGAAGCAATTGGTGAAAAGATTCCAGGAATTCATGCAAATTAGCAGAAGGAGGACGATAAACTGTACCGATAATAAAGTTTTTTCCATGCGGATTTTCGATTTCAACAAAAACAGAGTCAAATAAGGCGGAGTTTGACGAGCACAAATCAGACATAATGTTAAAGTTGAAAGTGTCGCGTAAATAAAGGCCTGCGCCTCCACCAATCCTGCCCACTCTATTCGATGAGATGAAACGATAGCCAGTAATGTTTACATAATCTTCGTTAATATCATTTAGCCAAGTTTCTGAGATACCTATAGCTGAAAACTCATGTTGCGAAGAATCTAAGAGTTGGGTAAATTTGTCAAAATTTTTAAGTAAGCTACGAGCGTTTAAATGCAAAAGCGAAAAGTTGATAGCATCCTTCTTATTACCAATTAGGTCATTTAGTTCTTGTTCGTTATAGTAACTACATTTAGAGGTAAGATTTAGAAAATTACTATCTGGATCAATGTCACTGGATATTACAGTATCGCAATTACTTATCGGGTTAAAGTATAGGCATTCTAATCGATCATTATTAAAACGCACTGGGCCGTGAGCTAACTCATAAAGGGCAAGATTAAAAGACACATCGTCGAGATGATTAAAAGGAAATTCGCTCATATTAGCAAAGAATTAAATAAGGAGTCAACTTATCTGAGTTAAACTAGATCGAGGGTCTGTCTTTGATTATCAATTTATCCAACACAAAGTAGGCAATCTTTCCGGCTTGCTTTGCTTGTTTTAGTTTCGGCAGTTGATCTTTACGCCTTTGAAGAGTTTCAGCCGCAAGATCTTCATTAACAAACATTCCGTCTGGCCTTACAATCCTCGCGGCCTTTAATATTGGATCCTTTTGCTTCCAGCTTACCAGGCGACAAATAACTGTACGAGGACGCGTAGATGAAGCGTTGTCGTCAGAGCGCCGATTAACTTTACCAGTACGATGAGCTCGCTCGATTTCCACCTTGAAAGGAAGATTGAGTTTGGATTCTAGCGCGACTTTAGCTTCATGGCTAAAGTGACTTCCTTCCCTGGGATGCTCTTTGCTTTTTTGAAAAAGTAACTTGACATAATTTATTTTGTACTTTTTATACATACAGGATCATATCCCCAGGTAGACCTGTTACAATCCAGTGTTCAGCCCAGAGTGAAGGAAGCAATCCCCAGTTTACATTACCAGGATCTAAAGGAAACAATGGGTGATTAACTCACTAAATATAGTTTCCTAAAATATGTCCTTAACCCTTTAACCCCTGTCAATATCAAAGTCAGAATTCTCATTTGGTGCCCCTGTATGTTTCTACTGAAGAAGTGGAGAGAAGTTGTTGAAGTATTAACTCATTATGTTTGTTGTGATCATGTCCTTAACTCCTTTCACCATTCCATTTAAAAAGGGTTGATTTTACAACAGAGAAATTTGATGCTGATCACTCTTAGAGCTTGAAGGGTTAATACATGCAGGGTTGAGATCACCTTTACCTGCAGCCATGTTAAAATCTATCAGAGAGCGTAATTATGATGTGACTTTGATATTCATGTACATGATGTAATGAGCCTCACCATGGCTGCATTAGTTGAATTTTTGTAGGTGTTACAGGTCAAATTTGATTTCAGGTCAAAATTTTTTTGACTCTCAATTTCCTTTGTTCACTCTGGCTAGAAGAAAATGAAACTTGAGAATCAAACTAGGTTAAAATCAAGATATAACCTGAAATCAAATTTGATGTGTAACATAAGCACTTCGATATGCAATTGTGTCACTCACTCACAACATAGACCTATACACTGTAGTTAGTCATGATTAATCAGCCGCAAGGGAGAGGGTCTGGTTATAAAACTCTGTAGTAGATCGATCAAAATAATGCTCATCAAAACTTTTCATCACGTTTTTTTGTTGTGACTGGAGACAAAATCATGAGGTAAAATGGAATTTTTGAAACACACTTAGCATGTTCACTGTAACATGATATTTGAAGAGTGGTCGTGTCAAGAACCGTAATAACTTTTGCTCATGGATACACTAAGACTGTTTTACTTTAAAGCATTAAAGTTCACAGTCTTAATGACAGGTGAAATTACACGTGTTTTTTAGCAGTCCATGAGTTCCCCCAAAATAAATGCCTGTCTTATGCAGTAACCTTATCCTGCAATGTCAGTCAGGATTATTTTAAGTGGAAGTACATGTTAGAGTCAAGACTTGACTATCCACCTCTCATTTCTGTTGCATCTTACTTATTTGCTATCAATGGATTTGATTATTGGTAATAATGCATTTTATTTAGCAGCTCACTTCACCCTGTTATATGTACATGTATCTCAAGATGTGAAGTACATGTACTTTTAAGAGGGCTTTTATGACATTTAAATTACTTTTACTATCTGTACATGATGAGCTTTTATAGGTTTATGAACTCTGCTTACAATGTTTATTATTTTTAAAGTATGACTTTTCTCTAAGTGTTTAGTACTAATTCTTTCTCAGGTCCTTGCGTGTCATTAAAGCACCAACAGTTCACATTTGTCCTGATGTCATCTTAGTTCACAAGTATTTACTCAAGTCAACTGTTGAAGTGCAGTTCAGGTACTGTTGTTTATAAATATAAGCTACTTGATTTATTTTTGATAAAAGTTAAGGTTAAAGGTTTTCTTATTGTGAAATGGCACTTAGCTTTAATATCAAGCTATAGCTTACAGGCGCTCCACTCAAATACTTAGAAACAAGTAATTCAAATATATAAACACAACAGGATTAAAAACCCCAACTGGCAGGAGGAAACCAGTTTGCTATATACAAGCATGGCTGAGGATTTGAACTCAAGACGGCAGAGAACAAACCCCACAAGTGACCAGAGTTGGACTCGAATCTGGGACCACTGGATTGCGAGTCCGCTTTGCTGACCACTCAGCCACACAGGCTCCATTTTAAACCAAAAACTTAACATGGTATTTTATGAAGGTTTATCACAATTTGTTATTATTTTCTTTTCTAAAGAAATGTTTAATAATATTTTGATTTAAGGAAAATAACTTCTCAGGTTTTAGTCAAGCCAGGTCATTAGTATACAGTGTACCCCCAAGATTCCATGAATGAATTTATTATTCAAAAGTTGAATCCATTGGTAGTTGAAGATCTTAGATTCATCTCTGCATTCCTACATGCATAATAAGTCATGAATTCACATGCGAGGTAGTCATGAAATTTCTACCAACTCAGTTTTCATGACTAATTGATGTAAATGTCTTCAAAGTAATTTTGTCCATTCAAAGACTATTCAATCTCACTGACCACAGAGAAGTTATGGTAAAAACATTCACTGCTCATAATGCATGCAGAAGTGCAAATTTGAATTTGAAACTGGTTTCGACAACAACTAATGGATTCATTTTTCAAATAATTCATTAATGGAATATTGAGGAAGGGGGGGGGGGGGGGATTTTTTATCCTGGGTTTTTGTTTTATTAAAAACGTTACTAAACTATTTTTTTCCTATATTTTTTTTTTGTTGTGTTTTTCCACCATTTTTATGTTTTCCAGGCAATGTATTTGCCCTTATTTTTTTTTTGTGTTTTTTCGCTCACAATTTCTTTATATATATTTTATTAGAATAATTTTAGATGGTGATAAAAAATGATCACTGCTAAACGAACGGGTCAGATAAACATTATAGATTAGAAGGGCAAATATACACATAGTATGCGATTACTTGTTCAATAACTACGAGTAAGATATTGGGGGACGGGGGGGGGGGGAGGGAATTGCATGACCTGGCTTGACTGTACTGTAAACCAGTACTCAACCTAGTTTGTTCCGATATTTTCTTTGTTGTGTTTTCTAGCCCTAATTATATGGTGAAGGCAAGGGAAATTCCGCTATAATCTTCTATTGGAATTTACCTGCCACATGTGTCATTCAATTAACATTAACTTAAATTATTTTTATTTGTTGCACAGTGAAATGATACAACAGTTTGTGGTCAAAGTGAAATGTTCTGTAGTTGAACCAGAGCCTGGTTAGTCCATCGTATCATTTAATAAAATTTTATAATGACAAAATCTTTACTTAGACCCTCTGCATAATTATGTGAACAATGTAAAAGTATCATAATTGCAGATTAGTTCTCATTTAGTTCAGGATGGTGTGTATAATATATGCAGCATGTTATCTGATATGTTGATGGTCATGGAGTTGTGGTTGCTGCAGACCATTGACCAATAACTGACAGATACTGGGCTAACACCCTGGATGATACATGTATCTGGACAGATTTTAAGCAAGGAAAGAAGGTCAATGTCTCACTCAAGGGAATAGATCATCGTCAGTCCAATACTGTATGCTTTTGTACAGTAACCCATGGGCTCCTGATTGGGCCATTTAAGCTGTGACTCTGCCATTACTTGTCTCTCAGTCCTTTGTAAACACTAGGTTACTGTGTAATTCACATGCTTGGCCTAAGATGGATCGTTCTTAGTTTCCCACATTCCCAGTTGAGTGCTGAATGTCAGAAAAAAAAACGAACAAAGAGGAGAACTAGCCAAATTAACATTTTATAACTACCAGTAGTCATAGTCCTAGTACACCAATATTAATAGGGCAGATCGACTTCACAGACCTAAGCTTCTCTCTTAAAGAAAAAGGTACAGTTTCTGTTTTGCTTTACTCACTAAGACTTAATGTCACACTTAAAAAAGTTATCTTGTACACATGTGATTTTGATACTTTTTTTATGATTCTGTATATCTAGGTGGTCCAGCAGTGTTGCAGTTAAGATTTACAGAAACTATTGTGAATCCTGACGTCATTAGAGCCCAGGTACCACATGTTTTATGGTGGCTCGCAATGATTGCTGCATTTTGTAGCAATTCCCTGATATGTGGATAAATACTTCCCCTCTTTTAACCGCAGCAGGATTCAGTGCTCAGTCGGTAAAGTGCTGGACTGCGAAGCAGGAGGTCATGGGTTCGATTCCCAGGGCTGCACCACTACCCAGGGTCTTAAAATAATTGAGACATTATGTTGCTGCTTTTGTGCAGCAAATGGCTAGACCTTCGTTTGGCTCTGATAGCCACGTAAAATGGTGGTCCTGTCTCCGGAAGGAGACAAAAAAAATAGTGCGCCCAATTAGTACTTTTGTGCTGAATACATTGACACTCAATTATGAAGGTGCATCTTTTTTTCCAAATGACGTGACAACAACTGCATCAAACAAATGCCCAGTCACTAGTAGACATGACACCGTCACATTCTTGGTGCACAAAATTCCCATGGCAGTGGTAAACTTAAAAATGCTGCTAACTCAAAATCGAAAATGGGTTTGCTAAGGATGTCTATGACAGACTGTTCCTGTTCTGGCAACCTAAAAAATGTTAACAAATTTTACATGATATTTGTTTACTAATAAAGGCATGGAATCCTGATGCAATGAGGCACCTGGAGACCGGGGAAATGTGTTCCTTGGTGTGTTATTTCAAGGTGCTCTTCCTTACATTTTACCGTAGCTGGAGCAAAGAAAATCATTGTGTACCGGGAATTCGTTTTATTTTCTAGGGTTTCATTTTATCAAGGTTCTACCTTAACGGTGTAATTTTGAAACATATCATTAATTTACCATGAAAGTGAGAGCACTAAAAGATGCTCAAAAGGGAGATGTTAATACTTGAGGAAATAAGATCTTTGGTTTTGTATCTCAAAAATTAAATTTTCCTTTCTTTCCTGTCTGATTCAAGTAACCAAACAACTGGCTTTTTCCTTCAACTGTTGTAGGTTTCGTATGAGATTGTTGCACTTGGTGCTCCTGTGCAAGTGGTCTGTAGCGCACAGTCGACTAACCTTACTCAGAAGCCTCCAGATCCAACACCCTCAACTCATCAGCTATCAAGCAGTGTGAATCAGACAGTACTATTAAGCAGTGTGAATCAGACATCTGTATCAGCCAGTTTGCCTGTCTCAAGTGTAAATGCATCTGCATCAGTTATTGGAGGTAGTTCGAAGAGGAGGCGGAGAAGAAGCATCCTTTCTAGTAACAGGACAGTACATCAGTATCAGTTTAGCACTTCAGCAGGTAATGCAAGTAACTCAAACTGAATCCTGTCACGTTGCCACCAGACCATCTCGCCACCAACCAAGTCGCTAGCAAGAGGTCGATTCGCTGCCAACCAACTTGCCACCAAGACTAATAACTCTAAATACCCAGGATTATACCGTAAATCCTCTATTAAGCCCCCCGGGGAGCTTATTTATTTCAAGCCCATTTGAGGGGGGGCTTAATAGAGACGGGGGCCTTTTTGAGAGGGGGGGCTTTTTTAGTTTAGAAATGACAATTATGGTATCAGTTCTCCATAAAGAACTAGAATACGAAGTGGAAAAGCTCAAGTACAAGAAGTTTTAGGTCATACAGCCGAGGATCAGAATCAAATGCGATCTTCCAGTTGGTGAATAAACCATCCTGGATCAGTCCGCACGAAGTTTTATAGTCGTGGTTGATTAATACAGGCTATCAATTATTAGTGAAGAATAAATTGGGGGGGGGGGGGGGGGGCTTAATAGAGGATTTACTGTAAGACAGTACGGACCGGTTTCCATTTAATAACATGTTTAGTTCTTTCTTAAGTTAAGTTGGTCCTAATTGAAACATGCGCCGAACTTCCCATGTTCTTACTGACATAATTTAATACTGACATGGTAGATGTGCGGGGCGGATGTGCTTAACGGAGATATAAAAATATTAAATGGAAACCGATTATATGGATTTCCCGTTATAGCAGCTTAAGTCCTGGGTAAGTGGGTCAGTTATAGGGGTATTAGTCGTGGTGGCGAGTTGGTTGAAAGCGAGTCCACTTCTTGTGGCGATTTCGTCGGTGGCGAGATGGGGGCGAGATGACCGTAAATCATATCATTAGTCACCGAGGTGACACCCAGAAGGGTACTTAAGGCAACTTTTGCTGGGTAATGCTACTACTTTGTGGCCTTATAATGTTCCAACTCCATTATAGTCAGTGGAGAGTTTGCTCGCAGGTTATAGCCTTTACTACCTCGTTCCCCTGGTCCCACGGACCCCTTGGAGCGAGAGAGAGGAAGACAAGGAGAGAACCCTGGGAACGAAGTTGCAGCCAATAAAATTGTAGACCACATCTAAGTCAGATTTTTACAGATTGTTTATCTCAGCTTTGTTTTCAAAATGTGCGACGCCAGCCTTAGTCAAAGATGTATTTTTTCTTTTTTGCCACAGGGCCTCCTGTAACGTTCGCTCTGGACGTGTCTCCTCTACGGATTATGCCACGAGCTGGCTTTATCCGGGCACCTAACGGCAGTTTCAGCGCAGTCCTGGCACTAGACCAACCAGCTGACAACACCGTGGACATCACGTGTTCTCTAGACAAGGTGTCGCCTGGGGCCGACTTAAGCAATACTTCAGGGCTGTGTTCCAATACGCCAACAGATAAATTGACATTTGCAAACAGCACTGTGGAGATAAAACTCGACCCTGTTACAATTGAGTTCCAGGTCAGATTTACTGTAGAGATTTGAAAAATTAAATCTTTGTTTACTATTATACTTTGTTAACTTCGAATTTTAACAGGACGAAGCGCAATTAGTTTTCGTCTTTTAAACTATACTAACAAAGTAGTTACGAAAGAGAAAGAAAATTCTTTTTTGTGTGTTTACATACGTCCTCCACAAGACATCTCATAAGGCGGTATTTTTACGTCTTCGTTGTGCAGTGAGCAAAATTATGTGATGCATGAGCCAAATTGTTATTTGTCCATTACATTTACGGTATTGCGGCTTTGCTCGTGTTTGCTAGAACCAACTAATTTTGTAAGGTGGTGGTGGACCTGTCAGCATAGCCTACATGCAGCTCCATCCTCCCCCTGAAAAAAGAAAAATGGTGAGAGTTTCCCATTGTCGTTTTGCTTATTCGGATGCACCTTAGCGGGAGGGGAGGGGGCACGGAGGCTGAGTGCGGTTACTTGTAGGCTTTATTTCGTAGAAGTGACAGAACACGTGGGCATCGCCACTTTTAATGACTACAGTATGGGTGATATTTCCTTCAGCACCCTGCTCACCGCCTAGAAAAAAAATTGGCCAAATTTTTTTTCTAATCAACGGAAGAGAACGCTAGTAAATATCTGTAGTTTAAAGATCTTCCAAAACAATAACAGGACCCAGTGGTTCCGAGTAGAGAGTGTTATATAGTGAATGAATATATTTCAAATCCACTGGATAACACTTTGACCTTGCCACGTGGATGGTGTTTTATCACAGGCATCCCAAGCTCACGTTACGAGGGTGGAATGTAATTTCTGTTGACGCGAGCGAACTGGTTTCGCGTCGCAAGCGATCGTTGACACATTGTATGAGAATAAAATACTGAGATCTGCGAAATACTGCAAAGATAAATCTTCTTTGTGTAGTTTATTGATTAAAAGGTAAAATACAACGATATTTATTGTTCGCAGACCTCAGTATTTTATTTCTCATCAAGAGCCATTATGGCTCTTGTTCTCATACAATGTCTCAACGATCGCTTGTAACGCGAAACCAACACGCTCGCGTCAACAGAAATTTCACTCCACCCTCGTAATGCGAGCTTAGGATGCCTGTGGTTTTATTCATTTACAGTAGAACCTCGATAACTCGTACTCGGATAACTCGAATTCCCCGCTAACTCGAACTAAATTTCCTTTCCCTTGATCAAAATTTCACTGAAATTTACCCCGCTAACTCGAACTGCTTTTCGTTGCCCTTCAGAGTTGGAGTTACCGGGATTCTACTGTATAACCATTTTTGTTAGCAACTGTGGCTTGGAGAATCTCTCTCGTGATAAATTTAGGATGTTGCAATTGTTGTTTTCTAACTTATGCTTATCGTGACGAACTTCCTTTAGACTAATGAGTTGTTTAAGAACATAAAGCTGACGTTGAGTGGAAGCCCTGCTTGGCGCACAGAGGACGTGGTGCGAGTCACTTGTTGTGGTCGGGATACAAGTTTGAGTCTTCGGTACGTCAACGAGACAGCGGTAGCTTTCATCTGGGTTGAAGTTCGAAAGTTACAACCAGTGGACTGGAACAGTATCACAAGTAAGAATAGGAGCGTCGCGAACAAAGAAAGAAAACTGTTTTTAGCTTTATTGGCAAACTCGGCTCAACTATTTTAACGTGAATCTGGAACTTGTTAATAGATGAACAGACGGTTTGCAGTTTTGTGTTTTAGACAGCTTACATCTGAAAATGTTTTCCCTAAAGTGCGTTGTGCATTATTTTTTGTTAATTCTCTAAACGGAGAAAGAGAACTAAATAGCCAAACGTAGCATAAAAGGAAACATTACATCATTTAGACAGAACAATAATTTAGAATAAGCACCAGAGTAAACTCATTATTGCCTTGGTGTACTCTGAATAATTTTGAAAATAATCGTGTTTTTGTGCCTAGGTGGTCAAAGGAAGGCTACACTTGTGTCTGATATAGATTTGTCGTGTCCCTGCGACTTAAAGGAGAACTCCTGTGATACAGGCTGTTGTTGTGATCAGGTATAAGTGCTTCACACTGTCCTCTAGAATAACAAATACCTACATTAAGAAATAACAGGGAAAGACAAACAGGACTACTGCTAAAGGGTGACCGCGGCCGCTTAATGGAGGTGGCAGTTCTAATACCGTTTAGTAAAATCCAACTGGTGGTCTATTATCAATGTTGCATTCTGATTGGTTGGGCTACTATTAGGCTATATGTTATAGCCCACTAGTAGTAAAAAGCGCCAGCTTTTAAAACCAAAACAGTGGCGGCTGAATTGTGTTGTGCTAGCTAAAGTTGTTTTCTCTCAATATGTTTGACCAACTAGTTGGATTTTACTAAAACAATTATTCCTCTCGCCCTGATGGCCTCTGAGTCAATAGCCCATCGGCCTCATGGGCTATTGATTCAGAGCCCATTCGGGCTCGATGAATAATTGTTAAAGATTCAGTGTGTGTGTGGACGGAAAATCGGGACGAGAAAAATTACCCATTGAATACAAAGCCGTAATAGGCCATTTTACAGTTGTGGGGTTAGCGTTCTAGCCTTTGAGTGAACGCGAGGCTGAGGTTGAGCTTGTTTTAATACAAACCCCCTTTCTTTTTCTAAGGGAGTTAGTCTAAAAACAACATGATGTACATATTAAAGCAGGACAGGCTGTACCAAAACAACGTCAACTTCAGCCTCGTTTCCACCTGTTTCTATAAAATGGGCTGTTGGCTAGGCTTTGATAGATTCTACTCGCAAACGTAACATAATATGCCACTAGCAGTGCTCGTATATTTTTGAAATTAAGGCAGGTATTGTGCTAGTTTTTGCGAATTTTGCTCATTTTTGCTAAAAATGCAGAAATTATCCTTCTACTTTTTACTTTAAATTTGGTTAAAGCACCTTAATAACCATTTTACAAACAAGGAAATGACAAACACATTTACCCTGTTTACATCTAGAAACTTTAAGAATGCATAATTCATTGTCTGACAACTATAAAACCAGCGCGCGAACGCTATCTGGGGTAACCGAGCCAGTTATGTGTATAAGTCCTGTGGAAAGTGTCCTAGGACACTTCTTGTAGGATGCAGGTCCATGAATGTGATAATTAGCAGACAAAAAATTGATTTTCTTACTTAATTTGCCTGAGACTGTGATCTCAGGCCAAAAAAACGGTTGCACGATCAATAACTGACAATTTTGTGCTGCAAAAACCTGCCACCGTACTTTCTTCATTTCACCTGTCCTTTTATTGGTTGCTATGGCACCGTATCTGACCATTGTCCAATTAAGTAATTGTTTATTATTTCGAAATGTTCCATATTTATTGCTTTTTACATCATGGCCAAAAGGCTTTGTATATATAACTTCAAATAGCATTTGCTAGTTATTTAAGTGATTGCTTGAATGTGTATTCTCTCTTAAGGATTGTAGTGACTTTGAAAACGAGAGCGCCAATTGCATCCCAGGATTCTTTGGTGGTGCTACTTCAGAGAGACCTTTCGAATTTAGTTGCCAAGCCTCCTGGCCTGACGCAAGGGACTGGCAACCATTCCTCTGTGTTGCCATTAACAACAGTCCATTTACTGGCTATTTTTACAATCTCACCAGTCCTTCTCTTGCTCAGGACTCGGCATCGTTTAACTCGCTTGCGAGGAATAAGAAAAGGGAAAGGTTTACCTTTATGGAGAGCGAAGAACGCCGAACCACAATCTCGAGTGGGTTGTACACTGTGGGAACAAGTGTGAAAACTGCTGCTAACGCTGAAGATGTAAACTATGTTAGAGCCACAGTGGGCGTGTTGAGTCTACCGCAGACTGTATTCAATGGTTTGTGCTCCCAGGACGTACCCGTTAGATTTCTGGAACAAGTTTCCTCTCGCTGTGTTCTTGAGTTGGAAGAGTCTCTTTGTAACTCGCAGTCGCCGTGGAGTGCTTTGAATTATCTGATGCCCATTCAACTCAATCGCCGCACGTGCGTACTACCACCCTCTGTTCTGGCGCAAGGACGGCTCAACGAAACAGGAGGGCCTCCTGAGCTTGCCACAACAGACGTACGATATTATTGTACGGATATCACGGATTTTGTTTCTGCGGCAGCTAAGGAATCGGAAAACTCGCTTACTAATAACTCTTCTTCGTTATTTGAGAGCAGCGCGCAGGAAAGAGCAGATCCCACGAGGTGTGCGTTTGATGATGGAGAAACTCTACCACCAGCACCGGACTTTAACAAAACAACGAGGTTATGTACAAATGTAGTGGTCAAAGTTGAATACGAGTTTGAATGGCGTGACAGGAGAATTGACGCGGTGAAAGCAAGAGTCACGCTTGGAAACGTTCAAATTCCTGCAGTTAAAACAAATACTGGTCTTGTCACTTCTACCGATGCTATCAACACCCTAAGCCAGAGCTTTTCTGTAAATTTCACCCATTCACCGCTACTTAATTCTTCAAACGTCCGGGAGGCTACTTTTCAGCGGTCAGGGAATCCAGGCTACCTGCTCGGTCGACCGGTGTTGAGTCGCCTGGAAAACAGTTCGGGACAAGTGAGTTGTAGAACGTTTTGTTGCCTTCGCTCTGTTATACATTAAGGAGTAATAGTGACAATATTGCTGTCGAAGATGGTGATGATGATGGTGGAAATTACTGACAGTAATGATCATATCAGTAATATAAGAGGCGGATGGAATATAGTTCTACCCTTTAATTTTGTTTGACCATTGAAGTAAAGCTTCCTCCTCCGTACTTTACTGAGCACAATACCCTGTGTTTTATTTCCCCTTGAATTTGGACTTTTTTTTAACTCTTGGAATGAAAGGGTTAAATTTTGTTGCTCATTTTTGAGAGAGTTTCTTGGAAGAATAGGGCAAAACTACTTTGCTAGGTTAATGTCACAACGATTGGGCAGAATGGCCCTCCTCTGATTGGATAGGAACGAAAGAAGTTAAATGAGAGATCAAGGTAGCCTGAAAAACAGCCGACATTTCGGGGCCCCCTCCACTGGTTTCCCAAACGTCTGAAAAATACCTCAGAAATTTTCCATACTGACGACGCGTCACTACCCAGATATAGGTAATGTTTCTGACTGGTTGAAAATTTGCTTCATCCAATCAGAAGAACTACCGAGATCTGGGTAGTGACCCGTCATCAGTATGGAATTCGGCACTCGTTTCTCAGTCGTCTGGGAAACCAGTGTTGGCGTCAGCGCGAAATGTAGGCTGTTTTCTCAGGCGAAGATCAATGTTGCGTATCAAATAACCAGTTTCTGATATTGATGAGCTTTTTTTATCTTGTTTAACTTGTTGCAGCATTCTAACGTCTTGTTAACCTTTTTAGGTTATCGCTGGCAAACTTCAACTTTGGTCACCAGGCCATGATGGTCTATGCGCGGGATCCACGCTTACCCCTATCCTTTATGGCGAAGATACGCTTTCCGGCTGTTTGTTGCGGCTATCGTTTGAGGACATGCGCAACTGCTCCTATTTAAGAGAAATGGTTCTAATTAACCAGAATCGCCTGATCCAAGCCACACATGTTGGTCGCAGTGGTAATGCAAACCTCAGCGTCCTCGCTGATTGGCTGCCAGTAATAAGGTAAGGTATATAAGAATCCGTAACTTTTTTAAGTCTTTGAACCAACCGCAGTTAACCCTTTAAGGCCAGATAGTGACCAACATCAATTTTCTCTTAACAATATCCATACATTGTCAAGAGATAAAGTTATGAGAATCAATAAAATGATCACCAAAGAGAAAATGCTTTGATAATTTATGAAATTCTCTCAACACATTTTTTATGGAAAAGTATTGAGATCAGTTTGGAGAATTTGTATGTGGATACTGGGGCTTAAAGGGTAACAGACCATTTCCGAGTTGCCCCAAGCCTCTGTTTCAAAGCGAGACTAAGTGCGAAGCTGTTGATATGGAAATGAACTCATTTTCTCAAGATAGATTTTGCACTTAGCCTCCTTTTGAAAGTGAGAGTTTTTGGAGCCCGGAAATGGCAAATTGTCTAAACTTGCTGAAAAGAAGTCAAAATTATGTCACCGTCGTCCAGTCGTTACTTCAGAGAATCTACACAAATTTATTTTGCGCTTCAGAAAGTATCTTGAGCCAAGTTTTGTTTCATTTTGTGATTGTGTCCTAAGCAAATTCTCTGTAAGGCAACTAAGCGCCAAACAGTATTGTCGAAATGTTGTATTGTTGAAGTCAATTTCCGAAAGCTTTTAAATGTAGTTCACTGGACTTGAATTGGTAAAACTACAGTTAAGGCTCTTTTATTGAAGAAATTTTGTTAATGCGGTTTGATACGTTTATAAATAATGATGAAACTTATTGAAATCTTTTTATTTTGTTTTGTTTTGCTTTGTTTTATTTAGAGAGCCAATAAGCAATAATTCCGAATCCTCCTCGGAAGAGGGAACTTGTTCCGGCATTCCTAGCGGAGTAATAATTGAGATGCTGGTGACGGATGCTGGAAAATACGGCGGCGTACCTCAGATGGAAATAGTGGGAACGAGAATCAAGTAAGAAGTAGTGTGATTATACGTCGCCCGTTTAGTGTCTGTAATACCAACAAAGAGAAAGGAAAATAAAGAAATTCTCTTACGAAGACACGTATTTCACCTTTCAACACACCACGCGTAGTGTCATTCTTCTTGACAGTTGTAAGGCGAACTCGTGATTTCCTTTTCTTTTAAGCGATCACAAGAGCTCTTCGAGATGCCTCGCCATCGCTCCTCTTCGGTGGAAAGAATTTTCAACTGAGTTACTTTTTTGTACACATCCCGCGTTACCTTTCGATCTCACTGAATTGTTTCCGAAAAACAGAGGTTGCTCGTAGCTAAACGAAACTGTAATGTAGGAATAGTACTTTTACCCCGAACCATGCAGTCTCTTTTAGTTCCACAAATTTGCGTGAAGTGGTTTGTAACTGACACGCCGCACTCGCTCATTTGCATTTCTCGGATTATATTTATAATTTAACAGCGAAGTGTGCAAATGACGTGAACTTTCGAAAATACTTTTGATATTTTGTCTCAGTCGAGCATGTTCATCGGCAGCTAAATTTCCCGCGTTGTCTTACTTTCACTTATTGCACCTAATTTTTTCTTGTTAGATTCCAGTTTAGCACGTGGCAGTTCAAGTGTGTCAGTGGTGTAAGTTGTTCAGCCCCCAGTGATACTGATACAAACTTAACTCAGTTGGTACCCAGTCCCTCAGCTACTCCAGCAACCGCAGCTTCATCCACCGTCCTTGACACGTCACAAGCAACTATGTCACCTCTGGCTTTGAGTTCAGTACTTAACTCTAACTTGGTACATCCATCCCTCTTATCAGCATCTTCATCAACCAGAGGCTCAACAAACATCACAGATATCAACCCTAACTTCGTACCTTCATCCCTCGTACCAGCATCTTCATCAACCAGTGGCGCAACAAACATCACAGACATTAACCCCAACTTCGTACCTCCATCCCTCTTACCAGCATCTTCATCAAACAGTGGCGCAACAAACATCACAGACATCAACCCTAACTTTGTACCCCCTTCCCTCCTGCCAGCTACATCATCGAATGATAACGCAACAAACATGAAAGTGAGTTCTGGATCGAGCCCTACCGCCGCTCACTCATCTCTCCTGTCACCAACGGCGTCTTCATTATCTAGCCATCTCACTGTAAGTTCATCCGTCAGTCCTCCCGCAAGTGGTACGGAGAACACTAGGAACTACCCGCCTCACTTCCAGTACTTTATGGTGACAAGCTCCGTTGTTTTCATTAAAGTGCCCGCCGTCAAACCACAGAGAGTTAAAAGGTCAGTCTATGCGCATGCGTTGAAACGACAGTCATGTTCCGTGTTTCTGTTCCATTTTTCATGGATTGAGTCCCCGTCAACGTTCCTTTGGTTCTGTGTGTGTCTGCAATAACCCTATTCGGCGCCTGTTGAGCGGTTCTTATGCGCAACAAGTCGAAACAGGGGTCCTCTTATATTCAATCAACTTCCTGTGGACACCCTCGGGACCGCCCGCGTGCGTGTAATAGTACGATGATAAAACTGAAGAAAAAACCTACTGCTGTCTAAATGCCCCTCATTGCCCGTTATAACGAGAGTAAATGTCCTTTCAAGACTAGACTGTGTCCGTAAGTCCGTAATAAGGGGATTTTGTTTCACTTGAACGGCGAACGGGGTATCAGATGACGGGTCAAGTGTTACGTTGGTTGTAGTCTACCACGCAACCGTTTTTGTCCCATCACGCAACGCTCCTCCCCAGGAGGAGCAGGAGCGTTGCGTGATGAGACAAAAACGGTTGCATGGAACGTCATCAGCTGGGACGATGAGGTAAATTGTTCAAAGTAAAGGAATTTAAAACCCAAGACTACCACCCATTTGTCAAAGCGAAGCATCATTTTCACCTGGTCAATTTGCTTCATTCCGATGTAGCGTCTTTCACTGGGGATTCGCTCGGACGAAAAGGGTTTATAGCATTCGAAACTTTAGCTCTCAAATAACTTAACGGTGGCAAATTCATCTTCTTAGAAGCCCATCTGATCTTATCAAGTAAAGTGACAACTTTAGTCGCGTTTCTTAGGTGTTGAGCAAAGTATTGTGATAATACTTTGCTGAACACCTACGCAACGTAGCCAAATTCTCAAAACGTTTTTTGCCACCAAATGAAATTTTGAGTATCAGACTTTCGTCACTGCAAATCCAACATAACTTCCTAAGACAGTCTCTACTGACAGTATACTAATACTAACACTACTTTCTTGACCCCACGACAGGTCGGTGGATCAGACTGGCATTTGTTACAGAGATGTGTGCAAAGAAGAACTGTTCTTGCCACTAACTGAGGCATATCAGGGTGAACCTCGTGAGAAATCATTGGCTCTTTCTCTTTTTCTTATTTTCTTGGCTCTTGTCACCTTTGCTGTGACCAGACCTTGGGGATAAGTCTGGTCTTTACGCCTGTTAGAGTCAAGTTCTGACTGTTTCGTGGCAGCTTAAGCGTCAAGTCCAGGCGAGAGATTCTAATTTAGAGTCCAGTCCAACGTGTTCCGTCGGATTCTGCCCTCGTACAAGAGATTCGAACGTAGGGATCGCCGTCAAAATTAAAACGGGCGATATCGGTGGGCTACAACCACGGCAAAGACGTCCACTAACACTACTAACCCGCAACGAAATCAAGTACAGGTGGTCTCATATACTGGTTTCAAATGAGTTTGTACTTCAGCAACTTCGTGGGAAAATAGTTTTGCAGGCCAGTTCAAGTAAAAAAAGACCATTTGTAGTGAAAGAAAGAGAAAAGAAAAAACAGACTTGTAGATTAAAATGGAAAATAAAGTTAATAAGAGTAGAGTTGGAATAATGTCTTGTTTAAATCTCATTTTTTCTGTTACTGTTGTTTACTGTTTCTCGTGTTCAGCCCTTTCTAGCCCGTCCACAGACGTTTTTTCTTATTTTTCAGTGTAAAGAGACCATAGAGGGTCTGTGAACAGGCTGCACGTGTAATCGGTTCAACCGTTTTTAAATCCTAGTTTCTGGGTCAAAATTAAAATTTTCCCTGAAATGTTTGTTTAGTGTCTAATTTGACCAAGAAATGATCTTTGGGGATGTTTTAGAACAAAAGAAAAAAAGAAAAGACCACTAAGACCATTAATAAAAATTTCGATTTGGGCTAGCGGCCATGCTGGGTTTTTTCGAAAGGGGTTAAGAGGCGGTCTCTCTAAAAGCGGTCCACTCGATTTCGCGACAAAAAATACTTTCCCTTTATTTTTTGTCGGTGTAGAGGCTTTAGTAGGTATATACTAAAATCGCTATTTTTGTTTTCAAATTCTTATTCTTAGCTCTGCTACAAGCCAAAAACGAATTGAGTCCGTCTCAGCTCCTCGGAGTGTTTCAAAGACTAAAATTGATGGATTTTGAAAAGCGCGTTGCAAACAAACGAATGCCCGCACAAAAGATCTGTTCGATTCGGTTTTTTTAGTTAGCCTTCGATAGTTCACAGGCTATCTTTGATCAAAACGTGTTCAAGTTACAGTGGTTCAAAGAATAACTATTTTGCAGGCTTAATCTAAACCCTGAAAGTAGGGAAGGTTTGAGGGAAAATATCTCAAAAGTTGCGGCCTAAATCTACAATCGGCGACAAAATGAGTTGAGACACTTCGCCCAAAAGTGGGCTTTTTTACGTTTTATGAACTTCAAAAGGAGGAAATATAGCTTTCCTCCCCCATCCCCTCCGTGCAATGTTGTGCCCTTGTTCTAGCTAGCTATAGAAAACAACAAACACCCCAACTTTGAATGGAGGGGACAGGAGAGGGGCGCGGATTCTTTTGTTCTCCGAAGTCACCCTATTTAAGTACAATGTCTCAACAATTTTGTCGCCGATTGTAGTTCAAGAATCATATCAAAGTAAAGTTTTAAGCTTATTTTTTTGGTTTATAGGCTCAGACTTGTGGGTATCTTCTGGGATTGCAACCAACAGTGGATTATAATCTGCCATTTTGCTTATTTGCATAATTACTAGCCGTGTCAGATGTCATGATTGTACAGATTAAAAGTTCCATGAAATTGCCTCTTTTGACACTCGAATTCGTCTCCGGCACCTAAAAGAAAGTAATTAAGCTTCTTTAAGTACTTTTGAATCGAAAGGGATATAGTAACAGGGATTATCATGCATGTTACTGATTACCGCGATCAACTGGCGGGCGCCGTCGTCTTGTATTAGGGAGCTTAAGCAACAAGGACGGCGACGGCTACAAAAACGTCACTTAAAAAGTGAATTCGCACCGCTTCAAACTTTATCGCGCTTATTCCATCTCGTTTACTTCGTCAAATGTTGGCAAATTTTTTTGGAGTTGAATTCTAAAGGACTGTATCAAAGTTCGGGAAAAGAAAAGAAAGTTGTCTTGTGTTCCCGTCCTCGACAAAACGTGAGTTCAGGCATTTTCACGTTGTAGTCGGGCAACGACGGCAAAGAAATGTACAAAAAAAGCGTGATGCACGTGCAAAGTTGTTGTTTTGCTAATCAAACCCATTGCTTTTTTGCCGTTCTCGTTGCCGTCCGCGTCGTCGTTGCTTAAGCTCCCTAATCAGTCCGGAATATCCCTAAATTTAAGGACAGGGCCAACTGGTCACGCGACACTTTTCAACCAATGAGAAGGCGCGCTTGTGTTTATCAACAAACAAATCAAAACATCGCCCCAGTGATCAAAAATTTTCAAAACAACGGACGGAGTCGGACAGAATTAAAGATGAGCTTTCAGTACTCGTCTAGGTTTCACATTAAATATTTCAAAGAAAACATTTCATGTAATAGAATAAGAGCATTAATCATTGCAAGGAATAATTGGGGTGTTCGAATTGATTCCGGACCGATCGCAGAGGTCGTGGTTTCACTGGCATGGCTTGCAAGATTTTTGATAGAAGCCAACTGGTCCCGTGTAAAAATAGCCTTAAACATGTTAAAGAGAGTGTGAAAATTTGTTGAGATCGTACAAAACAGGATTGTACTGCCCATTAACTTCTACAGGACAAGAATCAAAGAACCAGTCATCATAACAAGAATAGAAAGTAGTTCAAATTAATTAACTTTTCTTGCTTGTTTTTTTGTGTTGTTTCGCGTTTACTTCACGCATCTGGTGCTTTCTTTGCTTGCTGTAGTACCTGCAATGTCTTAATTTTATCCAAGATAATCATTGCATGTTCAATGAGTTGCGAAATACATCATTTATAATTGAGATTTGCCTTGTTTCTTTGATTGTTTTTTAACGGTGGATGAACATTTGGAGAATCCAACAACATTAAATCTTTCCAGATTAGTGAATTTCAGAAACAAAGCGGTTAGTATCTACCTTGCGCTTATGATCTTCAATTTCATCTCCGCAAATTCGGCAAAGTGAGGCGAGATGTTAGACGTGAATATCCATCAGATCCATAAGACTAATAAAGTTGTTTTGGCCTTGAAAAGAAAAAAAGGCAAAGGCTCGTGCTAATGCGAAAAAAAGTTATAACACGGCTCTGTGAGAAACCCGGGAGTGGAAAACGTACGTTTTTTGGACCTCGGAATTCAAAAATTGTCTACCAAAATTCTAGGTTGTCTACCATCTCCACATTCAACATGACAAAAGTTAATCGATATGACAATCGAGAAAAAATATCTAGAACTTCGTAAAGAATCTGTGAATCGAAAAAATAATAGATACTTGTTCACCTACCCTGAAAACCGACTAAAATCTCGCCTATACATCGCGTTGTTTAAAAGATAAAAGAAGAAATAAGCCACAAAATGTGCTGAATATTTCACGAGACACTTCCAATATGGCTTCCGATACGCTGTCCACTTAAAAAAATTGTGTATACCTCATGAAAAGTCTTAAAAATATGCCTGAGAGCCCCGAAACGATGACTGATTCTGTCCGACTCCGTCCGTTGTTTTGAAAATGTTTGATCACTGGGGCGATGTTTTGATTTGTTTGTTGATAAACACAAGCGCGCCTTCTCATTGGTTGAAAAGTGTCGCATGACCAGTTGGCCCTGTCCTTAAATTTAGGGATATTCCGGACTGCTAATTAATCCTGTGGGCCACAACCCCCAAGGACACCTCATGAAGTTTACACAACGTACGATTCCTTGTCGCTTCCGTTTCGAGCTGAAAACGCACGTGGCATGGCTCCATTTGCAACTGTAACTTGTCATGTCCGACGAAACGTTTCCACGGAACGAAGAGAATATGTCAGGTAACCTTTAATATTTATATTGTCGGTGTTGTTTCAATGCATTCACCCCTGATTCTTCACTCCCGGTCAATACCGACAGTAAACCGTTTAATGCAGAAGCAACAAGCACAAGTAGCCTTCGTTGCGTGTCCAGTTTTCAGTCCGGTTGTCCATGGAGGACTTCATAAAGTCCTTTTGCAAAAGACAAGATGACTTTTTGTAGGGAAAATCTTGCTCGAGTAACCGACGTTTTTTGGCGGCTTACTAGCCGAACTGGGAACCAAAAGCAAACATGGCGGAGTCGATCGAAGTCGATGTTCGCTGAAAGGTTTCGGATTTTGTACGGATTCAAGTCCATCCCTTTAAAGGGAAACGCACTATTGAAAAGGTGCTTAGTGAACCGTAAAAGGGTTTAAAAACTTTGATGTTTCTTGTGGGATTGAGAAACAAGGCAGTTTTTCAATGTCTGTATTTTTTACTTGTTTTTCAGGTACTTCACCTGAGTTCAGTGTCCAGTGTGGCTGCAGAGTGACAACTACCTGGGCCGTTTGAGCAGGTGAGGTTAAAGTAAGAGACATTCCAACCCCTTCTGAGGGAAAATTGGGAGGTTTTTTTCAACCCCAAAGGAGCTAATATGAGAGCCGAAGGCACGAGTCTTCAGTCAGTCATCTACAGTAATTCTCTAGTTAAACAGAATAAATCTGATGTAGAAACTTGGGTTGCCTTAACTTATAACTGTAACTTTAACTTTATTATTCCATCGCTCATATGGTACAAACGCAGTAAAGCCAAAGCCGGGGGCTTATACGGCCTGTGGTCAGAATGACAGAGATTATTTTATATAGAAATGAAGACTGTAGGCTAAACTACAAAACTAAAACAAGATACAAAACTGAAATCAAATAAGTTTACATGCATGCAGTCCTATAACAGTCCTATAACAGTCCATAAGTAGTGACAAATAAACTAACAATAAGCTATGAGAATCCTGCGCTAGTTCAATTTAGGCTTAAAAAGGGAAGTTTTAGTTTCTTTTCGAAGTTAGTATTAAATATTTTATTTTAGTCAGTAATTGTAACCTAACACCAAATAGAAGTGATGAGCTTATAGTAAAAAAACACCTAATTTTCCAGAAAAATGTCTGTGCATGGCAAATTGAACATGCAGCATGGAATCCTCAGAGGCCAGCGGCATGCAAACCTGAACTAAAAGTGTGGATTAATCATGAAGAGGTAGGTAACACATCCTACATTGGTGTAAACATAACTGGATCCTCTTTTGGATCCCTTTT